CTCTACAGGTAATTTTTTTCTTTTACACCTCTTTTGAGAAAAAAAATTCCAATATGAAATCTCCCAATTTTTTTCAGGAACCATAACAACACTTCGTTCTCTCCACGACCTCACAGAAGATGAGCTCACCATCACAGCCAGCTCCCTTACTGAAGAACAAAGTGCTCAAGTCAATCTGACCGTAATCATCACTCCAGCGCTAACTCATACAGTAACCTTCATGGAGCGACAATATCAAGCCAGCGTTGGCCAATCGGACCCTTTAGGTAAGGCACCATCATATTTCGATGGGTGAAGGGCTTTGAGTTGGAATGTGTTGCAGATACGGCTGTACTAGCTGTGAAGGCGAAGACGAATCGTGGAGAGGAATTGAAGAGTTATAGCCTTGAGGGATTAGATGCAGATTACTTCACCATTGACAATAAGGTAAGATGATTAATTGTATAACAGCTGAACGATGACCCCCCCTCCTCCCCCAAAAAAAGACTTTTTTGTAAGAGTCGGCATATTTAAATTTTTCCTTTTTTTCTTAAATTTAATGCTCAAAGACCGGAAATTTTTAGGGATTTTTAGTATGAATTATCTAGCAGGTCCCCTTATTATACAGTATCCCTATCGTTATGTCTCAAAAAAGAAATCCTCAAATTTCATACAAAGCCCTCTCAGCCGAGGCAAAGCTACTATCATATTTGCAGGGCGTAATTCGACTAAAGGAATCCGTTGCAACTGTGCCTAAATCGTCCTTGAGCTTCGTAGCTACAGCGGGTAATGGAATGGCAAAGAGTTCTGTTCCTGTAAGTTTCCTAGTCGATTAATAAGTTCTCTAATTTTAGAGCAAAGCAATACCTATTTGATGCAAAATGATAGTAAGAGGAAAACCTAGGTCTTGAAAAACTTTCTTCACCATAATCTTGATTTTTATAATCTCCTGTTGTTTAAATTTGCGTTCTTTCGCCAATCAATTTATTTTAACAACTGTTTTATCTACCGCAGATGCGATGTTGGAAAAAATAAGGTGATATGGTCCTTGTGCTGAAAAGTGCTATATACTTCAAAGTATCCCACAACGATTTCGGATTAGGCATATTGTTTTTGTATAATTTCTTGCATTTACAAAAATGATGGTTGACGAAAGAAAGTGGTATTCTACTAACAATGAAAGTCTAAATGTTATAAATTTTAGAATATGTCTAGCTCACAATCACAGCTTTGTCTAGCCTTCTCCCTGGGTATCGCTGTGGATAATTGCGCAAAAGATTTGCTAGCAAAGAATTGCATGAAGTGCATTACGTTTACTGCAGGAAATCTGAATACTTCTGGAAAATACTGACGGAGCAATTCTTGAGAATGTCGTAACAGCTATTACCAATTTAACTATCGATTAAGGGAAGCGGTTTTATTTTTACCAACAAAAAATATAAAATGTACAAACTTTGTAGTTGCCTGAATTATTTTAATCTTATGAGTGAATACCAATCTTAAATGGAAGACAGCTTAGAGCATAGGCTTCTTCAACTTTAAAAAAAATGTCAAACCAGCACTGGATTTTTTGTATAGAAAAAGATCCACAGTCTTCCTTTACGACAATACTTGTTTTTTTCGAAAATGCTTCAATTCAGGTCCGTGTACTTATAAAGAAAGAAGAAAGCGAAGAAATTGCTTTTGAGAAGAACTCATACGAGATAAAAGTCATGGAAAATATCCCATTGAATGGATATGTGTTGCATCCGCAGGTATACAGCATGCATATTCGACAGCAACAATATTTTCGACTCTCTAGTTTACATAGTTATTTTTCTTATTTTAGCTTATAAATGGCAAACATGAAGGTGTGGATTATTCGTTGAACACGCAAAATGATGCGACAGTCATTGCACAATTACTAGAAATTGATGGCAATGGAAGGATTACAGTCAAGGAGGAACTTCTAGGTATAGTAAAGAGAATTAAGTGTAACTGCAAGTTATTCGTCAAGTCGTCTTCTGCAAGCGTGGACTAACTGTTAAAAAAACCGCTATGCAGAGTGGCATTGCAGTTACGGTTTTGGTGTGCAGTGTGCAACTATACCATGCGCATGATA